AAGGAGGAGATCTGGGCAGCCAACAAACATATGAAGAAACATGCACAATCACTAGCCATTGTTGTTTTTGTTGTTAAGTACCGTGGAGTCAGTTCTGACATATAGTGACCCTGCAGAGGGTTTCTGAGGAAGCAAATTTTTACAGGAGCAGAAAGCCTCATGTTTCTCCTGCGTAACAACTGGTAGTTTAGAGCTGTCGACTTTGAGGTTAGGAGCCCGATTTGTAACCACTATGCTACTAGAGCTCCTTTGTTGTTGTTGTTTTTGTTAAGTGCTGTCGAATCAATTCCGACCCATACCAACCCTGTATAGAGCTCCTTAGAGAGATGCAAATCAAAACAACAATGAGATATCATCTCACACCAGCAATAACAGCACAGATCAAAAAAGTAGAGGATAATAAATGCTAGAAAACATGCAAAGAGACTGGGACCCTACATGGGGTATGAGATTCTGGTTGAGTTGAGTTGGTAATAACATTTGAAAGTAGACAGTGGTGATGCTTCTACTAAATGGTAAATATAATTAATGTTACACTTAAAATGGCTAAATTGACAAATATTTTATAGTACATTTTATCACAATATTTTTTTTTAAAGAATAGAATTACAATTTTGGAATGTATAAAATATATTGGGAAGTCTAGAAACCAAAGTGATTATCTCAGGGTACTGACCTTAATTATGACTTTTAATTTCTTCTTGTTTTCCTCTACTTTCCATGTTTCATTTGAATAAACAGGAATATCAATAATTATATATTTAAAATCCAGGGTAATTAAAAAAATCAAAGCAATACTACTTATATTTTATATAAAAGCATAAAATAGAAAAATAAAAGTGAATGAATATTATTCTAACCATGGTAAAAACTAATCCTGGTGGTGCAGCAGTGAAAGCACTTGGCTGTTAACCAAAAGGTCAGTGTTCAAACCCACCAGCTGTTTACTGGAAGAATGATGTGGCAGTCTGCTTCCACAAACGTTGTTGTTGTTGTTAAGTGCCGTCGAGTCGGTTCCGACCCATAGCGACCCTGTATAGTGTTTCCGAGGCTGTAAATCTTTACAGGCGCAGAAAGCCTCATCTTTCTCCCATGGAACAGCTGGTAGTTTCGAACTTCTGACCTTGCAGTTCACAGTCCGATTCGTAAGACTTCTGGTGTGGCACTATAGGATCAGTACTGGACTTAGAATCACAAGGTTAGCAGTTCAAACCTACCAGCTGCTCTTTGGAAACCCTGTATAGGGTCACTGTGAGTCAGAATCGACTTTACTTGACACCACAAACATTATAGCCTTGGAAACTATGTGGCAGTTACATTCTGTCCATCAACGTTCCTATGAGTTAGAGTTGTCTCAACAGCGGTGGGTTGGATTTGGTTTTAGCTTGTTATTCTTATAACCTAGCACATACTGGCACTTGATTAGATATAATCAAATTACGAGAGTTTGATTTTTGAGTAAAACTGATAATAAAGAAAACTTTTGATCATTTATTTTCTAGATCTGTAATTTAAGGGCAAGGAATGACAAAAATAAGGCTACAATAATTTCTTACCAAGATATATGTTTTCCCATCATGACCTTGAATAGTGAATCTAAAAGTACTTCTAGCAGAAGAGAGTTCCACCAGACACTGGGCAATAACACTCTGGACAAACTGAGACCTGTTTGAACAAAAATCAATTTTCACAATGTGCCTTTCATAATAACTTTAACTGGCAAGAAGAGCCAAAAATACCCTCAGGTTACCTAAAAGGCAGAGAGACATTTGCATGTCAGACTTTTCTATATTCCGCCTATTCCCTCACAAATTGTGCTAAAGTGGATTTTAATGTATTTCAATGAACTTGTGTTTGCTCCGTTCTTGTAAAGCCCCTTTTTCAAACCTTAATATATTTTCTACACCAAACCTAAGTATTGCCTCCTACTGAATAAAAAGATACCATGTTCGAACAAGTCAATATTTCATTTGTGCTGTAACACATTAGACAGTGAATAACTTAAGTTACAAAGAGAAGTGAGAAATTTCCTCCTAAACATTATAGACACTATTGTCTATATGGTTTTCATTTGCATTTCTTTAAAGCCAGCTCTTAGGGACAAAATCAAAGTATTTATACAAAGATAAAATTCAAGGCTATATTCAGACTGCCCTAAGTTTTAGATGTCAATAAGTAAACTGGAATAAAGACATATTTCAGTTAATTTTTGCTTACAAACTAAAAAGATTCAACGAAAAGAAAAAAAAACACTAACAGATTTAGTGACTATCATTTTTTAAAAATATAGGAGTCATTTGAAAGCTGATCCATGTTTCAAATATTAAACAGGTCAATTTAAAACCAAAAACAACTATTCAAAAGCCTACTTTGGAAATATTGTCAGGAGGGACCAGTTGCTAGAGAAGGATATCATGTTTGTTAAGGTGGAGGGATAGAGAAAAAGAGAAAAACCCCCAGCAAGATGGATTGGCCAAGTGGCAGCATCAATGGGCTCCAGTATGGCAACAATAGTTAGGTTGGCCCAGGACCAGGCAGTGTTTCCTTCTATTGTGCATAGGGTCACTATGGGTCGGTACTGACTCGATGGTACCTAACAACAGCAACAACAACAAATGATTAGGTTGTAAGGTCCTGGATATCTGTCACATAGGACGAAGCAAACAATAACAAAAAAGAAAACTTGCTAAATTAGATTTATATGAGCAAGTTTGTCTGTAATGTACGTAAACACAACCTAAATAAATAAATCCTCATGTCTTTTGTATTTGTGGTTTGATTTAACTATCAAAAAGTCTCTTTTCTTTTTTTTCCTTTCCAAATAAAAAGAAATATGTAGGAATAAATTCCCAAATAATCAACTTTGTCAAAATCTGAAATAACAGAGTAAGCTTAATTTGCTATTGGTACCTTGGTAGAATGGGAAAATTTCTCTCAGACGGCTGAATAATTACCTCTGTCATATATAACTTCATGGTTTCTAGAAACAAAAGAAGAAAATTAAGAACCTTCTCTATACAATGTTATCTTTATTGTAGGCATGTCAGCCCCAAATTATGACATTCCAAATTAAATATTTAATGTGTTATTGAAACTAATATCCAATAAAAATGTTTCCAATTTAGTTTCTCAATCCAAAGTATTGATGACCACAAAGAAACAATTCTGAGCCCTCAGTGTCATTTTAGAAATGTATGCCTCAAAGGGATCTGTTGTTGCAAAACTCTGCTAACAGATAAAATATGCAAATTGTATCACATAGTCTACTTATCCAGAATCTAATCATTTGGTGTCCTCATTTCTCTAAACTAGCCATGAGCTCGAGTTACTGAAAACGATATTCCAGTTATAGTATCTCAAAACCCATGCTAAGAACCTCAGATTAGTATTTACCCAGAATCTCACTTTATTAACTTACAACTCTTAAATATCTGGTTATTGATTACTTATTTGAAAAAATATTTTAAACAGCAAATTAGATAATAGAAATAAAAGTAAAAGCAAGGATTTCATTTTTAAACATTTATGAAAAATGTTGAAAGAAGTACAAATTAAAATCATATTAAATCTTAACCTTGAAATAACAAAATATGCAAAATATTTTAAATGATAAGGCACAATGTTGCTGAAGACAAAAAGAAATGGATATATTTGTTCATATATCAGAACTGAAAATGACCTTAGAAAAGTCTCAAAAATGTTCATTAATTATGACATCAAATTAAACATTTAAGAATTTACTTCAAAGGATGGATAAATTAATTAATATATGCATAAATGTATTTACAGGATGATGCTCATAATAATATTAATAGAAAAGTTTGAAGAGTATCTAAAAATTGAGGATGAGTTCCCAAACTCACAGCCATCCAGCGGATTCCAACCCTATAGGACAGAGTAGAACTGCACCATAAGGTTTCCAAGGAGCTGCTGGTGGATTTCAATCACAGTCCTTTTATAAACAGGTAAGTGCTTTAAGCACTGCATCATCAGAGCTCCTTGATGAGTTAAACAATTACAAATGTAAGCAATAGAATTCTATGCAGCGATTAACAAGAGCATTATCAAAACATTTTTAATAAAGGAGCTGCTCTTCATAGATTTTTTTGAAAACTTTTTCAAATGCTCAATGTAACATATGTTGTGTTAAATGCTGACCAGTTGGTTCTGACTCATAGCAATCCTGTATAGGGTTTCTGATGAGTGGCTGGTGGGTTTGAACCACTGATTTTGTGGTTCAAACCGACCTTGTGGTCCAGTTCTTTATCCTACAGTGCCATACTAGGACTCACATAGAGAACGGTAAAAAAATACTATCGCTAGACAGCTTAACCAATTATTATATATACCAAAAGCCACAATGGTGAATTTACGTATTTCTCTTCAAAACCCTGCTAATTTTCACTTTACTATTTTGAAGTTATATTATTAGATGCAGAAATGAATCCTTTAACCTTTTCACCTCAACTCTTGTTAAACTACAATTAATTTAAAAAAATTTAAGCCAAAAATTATTATTATTTTAAATAGTTAATATTCATTTAGTGTTATCCACATATTTACCACTTTCTTTATTATTCCGTCTTATAACTTAGACCATCTACTTGGGGAGATTTTCATGATGTACAGGTATGATTTCTTTTTAAAAGAAAGTATTGTGGTTATTGTTAAGTGCCAGCAAGTCAGTTCTGACTCAAAGCAACCCTTTATAGGGTTTCTAAGGATTGGCTGGTGGGTTTGAACCTCCAACCATGAAGTTAACAGTGTAGTGCTTCAGAGGAACTATGGTCATTGTTGTTAAGTGCTGTTGAGTTGGTTCTGTCTTACAGTGACCCTGTATAGGGCTTCCAAAGAGCTGCTGGTGAGTTTGAACTGTCAAACATGTTTCAAAACAACCTTGAGGTCAAGTGCTTATCCTATGGTGCCACGCTAGGACTCCAAAGGAATTACTAGCGAATTATTCCAGGTTGTATTTGTCAAAAAATACATTTATCTTTGCCTTCATCTTCAAAGTTTTTTTTTTTTTTTTGCCTGATATAGAATTCTATATTAAATGATTTCTTTATGCTCAGTGACAAAATTATTACACTATATTCACACTTTTCATTACTGCTGCTCCTTTAAAGGTAATCTACCCCTTTTCATGGTTGCTTTTAAGATTTTCTCTTTGTTATTAATGTTCTACAGTATAATTCTCATATGTCTAGTTATACACTTCTTATTTATCTAACTTGGGCACTATTGAATTGGAGTTCATCTAGTCTCTTGGATCTGCAGATTGTTACATTTCATCATACTGGGGACATTTTCAGAAGTTATCTCTTCAAATTTTACATATGTTCTATTCTTCCCCTATAACAATACATTGCTGCTCTTGTTAAGTGCCACCGAGTTGGTTCCGATTCATAACAACCCTGTATAGGGTTTCTAAGGAGTGGCTGGTGAGTTTGAACCACTGACCTTGTGGTTTAAACTGACCTTGCAGTCCAGTGCATTATCCCACAATGCCACACCAGGGCTCCAAACATACATTGCTGTTGGTAAGTGACGTCTAGTTTGTTCCAACCCATAGTGACCCTTTTAGACATAATGGTCTACATTTTCTATATTTTCTTCCTTTTTGTCTCTCTGTGCTAGTTACAGGTTTTTCCTCTGTTCCCTAGTTCTTTCTAAAAGCTATGTTAAACCACTGAATTTTTTTATTTCAATTATTTTTTTCAGAAATCCTTTGAATATTTTCCAAATATGTCTTTTCTTTTGTTAAATGTAGTGAGAGTGATTGTTTTAAAGTGTACATCTGATAATTATAGATAATGTCTATTGTTTGCTGTTTTGCTTAGTTCTGACTAACAGAAGCCTGCTTTACTTAGGTGACTGTATGTTTGTTTAGTTTTATGCTGAAAATTGTACTTGAAATATTAGAATGAATGATATAGTTTTATAATAATGTTGTTATTAAGTGCATCAAATCTTTCCTAACTCATAGTGACCCTGTATAGGGTTTCTAAAGAGCAGGTGGTTAAGTTTGAACCACAAACCTTGTAGTTCAAACTGACGTTGCAGTCCAGTGCTTATCCTACAACGGCATACCAGGATTCCATAATAATAAAGATGAAGATATTTTCTTCCAAAGATGATTTAATTTGCTTTTTTCAGGTATTCACAGTTATGTCTAGTACATGACAAATTTGAGATTTTAAGTGTTTAAACAATTTCTATTAAGCATCTTTAAGTTCAAATTTTGATCGAGAATTACCAATTAGATCTTTGTTCAAAAACTTCCAATTTTCTGAGACTTTCTCTTTGTTCACTCATCAACTTTTCTATCAATTCTTTGACCATTTTTATTATAGTTGCTTCAACATCTGTGTCTGCTAAATCCAACATTTATGCTTCCTCAGAGTATATTCATTAATGTCTATTTCCTTGAGTTATGAGTCATTTTCATTATTTGCATTTATGTCTAATAATTTTTGGAATAAAGTTGGATATTGTTGCAATATTGCTGTTAGGTGTTATCAAGTTGTTTCCAATTCACAGCAACACTATGTACAACAGAACAAAGTACTGCCGAGTCCTACACCATGCTCATAATCATTGTTACATTTGAACCCAGGGTTGCAGCCAATGGGTCAATCCATGTCATTGGGGGGGGTCTTCCTCTTTTTAACTGACCCTTCACTTTACCAAGAATAGTGTCCTTCTCCAGGGATTGGTCCTTCTTGTCCACATGTCCAAGGTACAAGAGATGAAGTCTTGCCATTCTTCCTTCTCAGGAGCATTCTGGCTATACAGAATATAGATCGATTTGTTTTTCTAGCAGTGCATGGTACTTACAATATTCTTCACTAACACCACAATTCAAACACATCAATTCTCTCATCTTCCTTATTCACTGTCCAGATTTCACATGTTTACGAGGCAAATGAAAATACCACGGCTTGGGTCAGGGGCATCTAAGTCCTCAAAGAGCTATCTTTGCTCTTTAACACTTTGAAGAGGTTTTTTTTAACAGCAGAATGCAGTACGTCCTTTTATTTCATTGCTCCTTCCACGATCAATGATTGTAGATCCAAAAAAAGGTGAAACCCTTGACAAATACAATGTTTCTCTGTTTATCATAATGTTTATTGGTCCAGTTGGGAGGAGATTTGCTTTCTGTATATTGAGGTGTAATCCTTACTGAAGGCTATAGTCTTAGATCTTCATTAGCATGTGCTTCAAGTAACTCTTCGCTTTCAGCAAGCAAGGTTTGTCATCAGCATATGGAATATTGTTCATGAACCTTCCTCTTTTTCAGATAGTTCAGCTTTTGGATTATTTGCTCAGCATACAGGATGAATAAGTATTGTAAAAGGAAGCAATGCTGACACACACCTTTTCTGATTGTTAAGTCATTCAGTATCCCCTTGTTTCGATCGAATGGCTGCTTCTTGTTCTATGTGGAGACTCCACATGAACATAATTAAGTTTTCTGAAAGTCCCCATTATTTACAACATTATCCATAGTTTGTTATAAGATCCACAGAATCAAGTGTCTTTGCATAGTTAATAAAAACAAGTTAACATTTTTAGGGTAGTCTCTGTTTTCGGCTAAGATCAATCTGATGTTAGCAATGGCATCCTTCATTCCATGTCCTCAGGTAAAGTCAGCTTGAATTTATGGTAGTTCTCTATTGATTTACTGTTATTGAACTGTCTCCAGGAAAATTTTACTTTCCTGTGATAATAATATTGCTTGATAATTTTTACATCCTACTGGGTTACCTTTCTTTGGACGGGGTACAAATATGGATCTCTTCCAGTTGGTTGGCCAAGTAATTGTCTTTCAAATTTCTTGGTATAGTTGTTTTCCACACACCTTTACTTATTTTTCAAAAAAGGTAATATGGGTCGTCTCCAGGATGTTGTTAAGAGCCCTCAAGTTGGCTCTGACTCAAAGTGACATTGTATAAGTTTTCCAAGGCTTTAAATCTTCAT